TGTCGTACATCTTAGGCGCGCCGATCGCCGCCTTTGTATTTCTGCCCGTTTTCTATAGACTCAAAGTTGTCTCCATTTACGAGGTATTCATCCATTAGTTCATCCATTACTTCATCTCCACTAACATGTAATCAACAAATATTACCACTAAATCATAGTATTTGGAGCACCGGTTCGACCGCAGGGTCCGAATGGCAGCCTCTTTGGTCTTCACGTCTCAAATGATAATCTATATGTCGATTGTCTTATACGCGCCGGCATTAGCTCTCAATGCGGTGACCGGACTGTCCAAATGGACGGCTATATTATCTGTTGGTATAGTTTGTACGATCTATTGCACGATTGGAGGCATCAAAGCTGTCATTTGGACGGATGTGTTTCAATCATTTCTGATGTTCACCGCAATGATTATTATTGTGGTTAAAGGCGTGTATGATGTCGGAGGGGTCGACGTTGTCTGGGAAAGGGCTCGACTTACCGATAGATTGCAATTTTTTAAGTACTCATTCAAACCATAAATAAATATTATTTTAATCACTTATTTCAATCATAGCTTAGATCCAAATCCGATGATAAGACATACGTTTTGGTCGCAAACAATCGGAGGAATCTTCATATATGTCTCGCTTTATGGTGTCAACCAAACACAAGTTCAGAGACTATTAACTCTTAAGAGTTTACAGAAATCTCAATTGTATGTCTACTTAATTTTAAGTCATAACCCTATATACCTGATTTGATTGATGTATACCAAACAGAGCCCTCCTAATAAGTTGGCCGATCACCACATTGTTGGCCTTAATAACAGCATTCACCGGTTTAACCATTTTTGCCAATTTCTGGAAATGTGATCCACTCATCACACATCAGATTTCAAAATCAGATCAATTGTTGCCATATTTTGTTATGAAATCGTTGTCGTCATATCCAGGTCTTCCAGGTGTCATAATTGCCGGCATTTTTAGCGGCGCTCTGTCTTCGGTGTCATCTTTCGTCAACTCTTTGGCTGCCGTTTCGTTAGAAGATTACGTGAAAATTTATTTCGGGAATCGATTGTCGCAAAAGTCCGAAACATTAATCTCCAAACTATTGGCGCTATTTTATGGCCTCCTCTGTGTGGTGATGACTGTAGTGGCCGACCAAATGCCTGGTCTACTGCAAGCCTCGCTCACCATCTTTGGAGTGGTCGGCGGACCACTGCTTATGTTATTCACGGCCGGCATGTGTTGTCCAACTTGTGATTCTTCAGGCGCTTTGACCGGATTTATCGTTAGTCTCGTCGTTGGCTTTTGGATTGGGTTTGGAAATACATTCTACGGAACAAAAGCCATACCTCTGTCTCAATCCATAGAAGAATGTCCGGACATAGGCTTCAATTCAACTCAAATCCCGTCACAATCAGCACCGGGTGTTGAAAACAATTCGTTTTCCATGTATAATCTCTCGTATATGTGGTTCGCAGCCTTCACATGGAGTATAGGTCTCATCGTTGCAGTAATTGTTAGTAAACTTAATCGGCGATCAAATCCAGTGAATCAAACACTTTTGGCACCGTTTCTGCGAAATGAACTCAATTGTGATCCAAATCCTATCGACGATTCGGCTAATTGTTCGCTAAAAAATAGCTTAAAATTAAGTGAACTTTAAATTTATAAAACCTAAAAATTTTAATTTTATTAATTAAAGTTGTTATTTGTATAAATGATATGTTTTAATAGGAATAACTTATTATTACCGGTAATAGAATAAAATTTGACTCGGTGTATAACTTAAATTAACGGCTAATTTACACGACATAACGACATAATTATTAAATATATAAAACAATTTACAATATTAACAATATCTTTAAAAAGCGAGTTTCAGATCAGTTTGACTGTAATGTTGAGCATTAAGACTATTAATAGTATCCAAAAGAGCGTCTTCTTCGAGAGACAAGTCTTTGGAAAAGTAGGTATCGATGAGATGTGTGGCCAGAACTGCAACTTCTGTGTTCTTATTGTTGAGCAACTCTTCCATGTGATAGACCGTAGAGGTTGAGTCGCATCTCTGGACCACTTCATGCAAAATATTCATTCGTTTAGCAAAAGTCAAGACATTATTATAGAAGCGAAGACACGTCTCCACAGTCTTTGCGTCGACAGCTGTGAGTAGTGTCGCCATCGCGTCAATCGAGTCCATATTCGCGACACTGTTGTCGATGTTTATTATATAAGAGATCTGCTGCGAAGAACCCAACGCTGAGATGTTGAACAACACATGACAGACCTCTACTTGTGTCCGATAGTCTCCCATATATAACAGTTCGACGATTACAGGCATTAAGTTGGCGTCGATTACGGCTTGAATTTGACTATAATTACCGGCACTTATATTGGAGACCGTGAAGGCGGCCTCTCTCTGCACTTTGGGGCTGTGGTGCTGCAGAAGTGCCACAAATTTGCGAAGAACTCCCGATTGTAGGACTATCTGTGTGTATGACTCGCCCCACAACACTATATTTCCGATCACACGTAAGGCATAAAAAGTGTTTTCATCTTTTGACGACAGATTCTCTATAACCGAATCGATTAGCAAACCATTACTGACAACAGAGTGAAGCAATTCCTGTATAGGAAACGACTCGCTCTCGGATACCATTGCCGGTCGTTCAGTAGTGGAGGACAACACTTTCAATACATTAGATCCGACTTCGTTATCGCAATACTTCAAGAGTTCCACTAATCGGCGACAGACGCCGGCGTCCATCACCGCTTGGATCTTCTCGTTGGGCCCATCGCTCAGGTAGGAGAGGGCACAACACGCGTCGTTCAACACATCACTATCACAATGAAAGAGAAGTCGTGCCAACACTGGTAGACACGGACTGACTGTTTCGAACTTCACCGGAGGGTTATTGCCCCGACACAGGCAACAGAGTGCATACACAGCGTTCCGGGTCATCGATATTCGCGAGGACTTACTGAGCAATCTGTTGATCACATGAATGGTCAAGAAATGCATACAAAGACAAAGTAATGACAAATGCAATACTCACTGAAGTAAAGGCATTAAAGCGCTGTTACTCAACACATAATCGCGACATTCGGGTGAATCGCCGGCAATGTTGCCCAACGCCCAGACGGCCTGTTCCTGAACGTCCTCATGGGGTGACTCCAAGAGGTGGATGAAGACGGGCACCGCTCCCGCCTCGATGACCATCCGGGTCTGAAGGGATGTGCCGGAAGCCACGTTCGTCAGCGCCCACGAGGCCTCGAACTGCAGCACAGAGTTGTCGTCTCTGTGCAGGAACTCCACAAATCGCGGGACGATTCCCGTCTGAATCACTTCATCGATCGGGGGATTGGGTTCTGTGGCCACAGATATCAACACAATTAGCCATACATTGAGTCCAGACATACAGCCATACAATCCGTTCATACCTTTCGACAAGAGTTTCCTAAACTTTTGAGTTGCGATGAGTTGTTGCTCGACATCATCGGTATAGAGAGCGGCGACCATCTCCTGAGTGATCACTTGTGTGGCCCCTCCGGAGGTGTCATCGGGTGCTCCACCGGACGCCCACTCGTCGCCACTTTGCGTCAGATTCCTTCGTTTGCAGAGTTCTGTCTCTCTCTTCTGTTTCCTCAGTTGGACGCCTTCCTCCTCACGTCTTCGGCGCAGTTCCTGTGCGTCGAGACCTGTGTTCTTATAGCGATACCGATGCGCACCGGTATTGCCGGCCCCACCACTCGGCGCACCACTCGATGACATTGTCTTACGGCTATGGAGGACACACTCGTCAGCAATGGATCCCTCGTTCAACACGTCTCGCAATATGGCATTCAATGGCGACAAACACTCGTGAGTTGTCAGTCAGTGATCACTGATCGACGGATCCAATGGTCACTCGTTTGGTGCGATAATAATGACTTGAATTGAATGAAGGGTTCAATCGGTTGAAGGCATTGAAGGCATCACTCAGTCATTGAATTCACTAATCGTTGCATTCATTCGTCTCAACACTCAATACAACACTCAATACAAGCATTCATTCACTGATCCACTGATCGCTGCACTCCTCTCACAAACACTTCATTACAAACGCATTGCAAACGCATTGCCACTCACTCTCACTCCGACTCTCAAATACTACACTCACGCCATCTGTCACTTAGTGTCCAAACACTGCATTACATACCGTAATATTAATACCTGTAATGCATTTCATTCAACACTCATTCACTACAGTTTGATCTTAGAGTTAATTTACTGTATTTAAGATTTAAATGATCAGGGCAAAACATATATCATATAAACTAATTGTCTCTTTATTGATCCTTATTTAAGTTTGCCTTTTAAATTTTAAGCTTTAAAATGTAAGCATAACTATTTTTTCAACTTACCAATATTCATTTATAATTTGAACATAACTTTATAATTCAAACTTTTACTCTACCTTTGACTCGAGTAAATGCAGTACTATTTAGTTTTATGCATAACTACACATAAAACTATATAAACTTATCTATATAAACTTGTAACTACACTCACTTATGTCATTATAACTAATGTATAAATCATAAAACTAAAAGTTTATTTTATATTAAAATTGTAGATTTATAGTAATCGATGATTATTCTTTTGATTTGAAATCAGATTGAGATTAAGATTAAAATTGAGGCAATACTGTATGACTGGCCTTTAAAATCTAAATTCTTTAAAGTTTATCATAATACCTATACCGGTATATAAAATATGTAACTTTTAGTCTTAATATTAGTCAGTTTGATTTTACGCGATATATTCTAACTGTTAGTTAAGTTGCTATCAAATGAAATATTGTGAAATACAAAAAATGGTTCTAGTTCTAAATTCTAAATTAGTAGATAATTCTATAGTCGCTATTATCAATGATAATTTATCATAAATACTGTACAGTGCAAACTCTATAATACAAACTCTTGAGCTAAAGGAATATCTTACGTCAATTAGTTGACAAAGTTTTAAACTATTGTTTTAATTATTTATTGTATATACCGTAATATAAAAATTCAATTAAAATTGTAATTTAAAGATATTATGTTAATTTATATACAAAAATGACTATGCCACCAATGTTTAAAACTGAATTAACTAGACCAGTTTATGGAGTTGGTCAGAATTAACTAATTTAAATTGTAGATAATATTGTGTACTTTGGTTTCTCAACAATTATATTCACGCCGCAAAGTTGCTTGTTGAAATTGAAGTAATTGTACTTGTTGGTTTAAATTAAAGATAATAATAAAATTAGTTTTATAAATATTGATTCTGAATAATCAAATTAAATTATTTATCACCTATTATATTATTAATTAAATTATTTCTAAATTATAAGTAGCACTTTTATTATATTTTACATTTAAATCCCAAATACTTTGGCATTTAGCAAATTATTTATTCTTCAATTATTTATTTAGCAAAATGAAATCTTATTAATAGATTGACTTTCAATTATGACAACTAGTAGTGTATTGTTTACAAAAAAATTATGAGATTATGATTGTTTGAGAGACAAAAAA